TGACGAGTGCGCGTGACCCCAAGTTCCAAGAGCCCACCGTGCGTACATTTGGTGCACGTGTGTTTGAGTCTTGTGCTTGGGTTTGGTCGGTAACACCGCACCCTTGCACATGTCACACAGACACAGCACTAACGGTTCGCACGCACGGACACACCACTGCACACCACTGCACACCACGACGACGCAGAACAACAAGAATACCCCGCTGCATGTGGCAGCACAGGAGGGCGACTGCGAGATTGCGAAGATCCTGCTCGAAGCCGGAGCTGATCCGAATGCCCTCAACGATCGCGTAAGTGCTTGTGCCTTTTTGAAGCGTTTGAGGGGAGGGAGTGGTGAGTGTGGACGGCGACACTTGAAGGTTAGATCTTGGTTTTGAGTGTGCCCGTTGCACCAACGCGTGCGATTCGCTTTCCCTCTGCATCCCAACCATCACAGGGCGAAACACCGCTGGAGCGTGCGAGGAAACGCTTCCAGGCCAAGAAGACGGCCGTAGGTGTGGTGACTATGCTGGAGGACTGGGTGCAGAACAACCCGCCCTTGAGTCCAGCATCAGCAGCACCAACCACCCCGGCGGCGCCGCCAGACAGCCCAGTGGCGCCGCCAGACAGCCCAGTGGCGCCGCCAGACAGCCCAGTGGCGCCGCCAGACAGCCCGACGGCAGAGAACGTCCAGGAACAACACAAGAACCAGCGACAACACAGGCAGCAGGGACAACACAGGCAGCAGGGACAACAGTGACAAGAATGACAACAGAGGAACTCCAGTCACTAGGGCTCTATCCTCGGATTTTCCCTTCGTCAACCAACACCAGCAGCAACGCCAACCCCGGCATGGCTCCACAGCAGCCTGCAGGCGGTGGGGAGCAACGCGTTCCAGTGCTTGTAGCTCAACCCTCGACACCAAGCCCTACCTTCCGGATGCAGGGGCAACAGTCATCCCAGCACCACAGCGCTACGACCCACCACCAACTGAGCGACGCAGAACTTGTGGAGCTTGCGGGCCATCCAATCGATGAATCCAGCGAAACCTCTTCTTTCTTGATTGACGCACTTGGTGGTGATGGAGGCCTTGAGGGCCTGACGGTTGCGGGCGTCTCGCCTTGGTCCCCACCCATCAACGGCACACCGTCACCGACACTAGAATTGCGGCAGTCCACTCCACAGCAGCAGCAGCAGCAGTTTGCCTTGGCGGATGATGATGATGATGAAGAGGAGGAGGAGGAAGAGGAGGAGGAGGAAGAAGAGGAAGGGGTGCGTGGGCTTGGAAACGTGCATCAGTGGCGTGAGATTGAGACTGCAGCGACTGGGGACAACGACACCAACACCCGCAGAGAAGAAGATGAAGAAGGGGGAAACACCTGCGAAGAAGAATCGCTTCTGGGTGACGAGTTTCGCGTAGACACGCCCGACCCGGGTGGACGTGACGACCAGTATGCACCCAACTCTCCAGGGAGGGACACGGGCGATGGTGCGCCGCCCTGCAAGCGCGCTCGCATGCAGGCCCCACCGTGACAGCAGTGGGGGAGGTGGTCGTGGTCGTGCTGGGCGGAGGTGCTGCTGGAGGGTGAAGTGACTCGTTCGTTCATCCCGCAAGACACTTGTGTGTGTGTCTGTGTCTGTCTGTGTGTCTGTCTGTGTGTCCGTGTCTGTTCATGTGTTGTGTGTTTGTCTGTTACTGTGTGTTAATTCAAAATGACTTTCAAATGATGTGACTCTCGTGCACATGTTATTGGTGCTTTGTTTGTAGTCAATGGCCCCGTGCTGGCCCCGTGATCCCACTGGCTCTGGCTGTGGGATCAGTTGCTTTCGTTACTCTTGCGTACTGGTATTGATTGAAACGGTCAAACAACAAGACCAAGGGCCCTGGCATGGCAGATGGAACCGGTGGAGCTGGGCAGTTGGTGGAGGAGGTGCAAGGCATGTGGGATGACTGAAGGTGGGCGAACTGCATGCATCGCATATTGACACGAAAGACATATGGCCGTGTGTTTCAGTCTGTCTTTGTTTTGCTGATGTGGACGCGGAGGGGGTCTGTGATGCTCTGCATCGCTGCGTCTTCAACCGTCGGCACCGCTGGCGGTCTTCTCGACGACTGCGACGACAACGATGATGACGATGGTGGTGGTGCCTGCGCCTCGGGTGCTACACGCTGCGCAGCTTGTGCCTGCGGCGTGCATATGCGAGTGTGTTCGTGTGTGTGTGTGTGTGTGTGTGTGTGTTCGTGTGTGTGTGTGTGTGTGTGTGTGTGTGTGTGTGTGTGTGTGTGTGTGTATGCGTGTGTGTATGCGTGTGCGTGTGTGTGTGTGTGAGCGTGTGTGCGTGTGTGTGAATGCGTGTGTGTATGTTTGTCCTACCTTCCATATGACTCCTAATGTTGTGGTTTGTTGGGTCTCTACCCTGTGGAACGTTGATTGTCATACGATCTGTAGCAAGATAGCAGGCGACAGAGAACGAATTTGTTAATGGTTACAAGTATACCTGATG